ACCCTAACTATTCTATGATTCTATGGGGCAGTCCTAGCCTCACCTCACCACGGAGTTTAGCCTGTGGTGTGCAGTCTATGAAGTGACTAAAAACTGCAGTAACATTTCATCATTCCTTTTCCTGTTATGCTCTTCCCAAACACAAAAGAGAGCAGTCCAGGAGCATCCAAGATGACATTGAAAGTACAACACCATTTCTCCTCCTTTCCCTCACACGTATCATTATGAAAACCCTCTCTTGTTAGATCTGCTTTGCAGATTTTTGTATCTGAACTAATCTGAGGAGTCAAGATAAAGCAGAAACCAAACATAGTATATTTACCAGACTCTGCATTCTATTACAGAACACCCATATCTGGGATAAATTTATATTTCACATTTGTTATAGAATAACATTAAGAAAAGAAAGATTTATCTGGGGAAAAAGTAAGTATTTTGGGCAGCCACGGACTACCTTTACTATCATCAGAAATAGTATATTGAGAATTATCTGATTTTGTGCGATGTAGTCCATAATGTTACCATACAAAAGAGCTTTCACAAGTTAGTAAATATCTTGCCTATATAAGTTAATCAGTTTGCCATATTTATGCAATAGCTGTCACTTGAAAAAGTAATTCACAGAATGTTCCAGGTCCAGACATCAGTTCCTACCACGACAAATTTATACACAGTTTTTCCTTGCTAGATGTGGAATAGATAATTTCTTATTCATAGTTTTTAGTTACTTTTGGAAGAACTCACAGATCACAGAAGAACAGAAAAAACAACTTAAAAGTAAAATAGAAACAAATCTTTTTCTCCTGTAGCAGATAGGGGACTGAAATCCTTAAAAATATCTGTTTAGCAGTATGACTAATCACTCACATTGCTGGGAAGGGCAAACATGCATAAAGTACACCCAAACCTTTGCTCAAATTATCAGAAGTTTTTCACTTCTACCATGACAGCAAATGCAGGGAAACAGACTACTAAGTCCTTTCCACAGTTTCCAAACATAGTAAAGAGTAGGAAAATATAACCTCCTCAAGAATGTAGCTTTTGCATATAATTCATTTGCCAGCCTTATGCTAGTTATAATTGAGCCAAAAGCTTTTCAGATTGTAATTATTCTGTTATTTTAGGGTCCAAGAAGGCACACCTTGCTGTCAAGTGGAGAACCAGAACAAGACCTAAAAGTGAAAGATGCTTGACTAGACTACATCTACTAGATGGTAGAGTGTTATACTAACACTCTGTACCATTAGTCACTCATTCAGATAAATGTACACAAACAGAAATAAGAATGCTTAGTGTCCTGGTTTGGGCTGGGATAATTTTGTTCCTAGTAGCTGGTGCAGTGCTGTGGCTCTAGTCTGAGAACAATGCTGATAATACACCAGTGTTTTAGTTGTTGCTCACTAGCACTTACCCTGATCAAGAACTTTTCGGTCTCCCATGCTCTGCCATTTAGGAGGGCCAGAGAAGCTGTCAGGGAGCAGAGACAGGACCCCTGACCCAAACTAGCCAAATGGATATACCAGACCATAGAAAATCATGCTCAGTATAGAAACAGGAAGCATAGTGATCACTGCTCGGGGACTGACTAGACATCGGTCAGTGGGTGCTGAGCATCTGTACTGTGTATCACTGTGTTTCTTGGGGTTTATTCTTCTCTTTTTCCTTTTTTTTTTTCATTATTATAATATTTACTTCATTTCAATTATTAACCTGTTCTTATCTCAACCTGTAGGTTTTACCTTTCTCTGATTCTGCTCCCCATCCCACCAGTACCACATGGTACCTGGTTGCTGGCAGGGGCTAAACCATGACACTTAGCCTTAAAGTGTTTTATCTTCCTATGGATATACATGCATGCAGCATTTAGATATTCCAAATGTAAGGAATTAAAAAGAAAAATCAGTAGCTTGCTTTAATCAGTTACTGTGGATCATGATGGCTCTTGCATTAGTATTCCCCTTTCACTTCTGCATAATTCTATTTAGATCAATAAGGCTGGATTGGAATAAAACTAGATCATGACATTGGTGAATCAGGCCCCTTATTTTTGACACATTTAAGCTTTTCCTGAAAGACCAGATGGTTGGTGTATGTTATGTAGTTTTATTCAGATGAAATTTAAAAGAGCTAAAACACTCAGCATGCTTTTATTATTGGCATGCTTAGTGTGTCACCTAAAGAAATCTACAAAGGGAGATAATGAGCCTTGTCAACTGTTTCACAGTAATTATAGCCCTCATGATATAATGCTACAAAATTACAATATAGCTTAAGATAATAAAATGTAAAAGGATTTTTCAAGCAGGAAAAAAAAAACTATTTGTAACATTTATGCAGGAAGAGGATTATTTCAGACAGGTAACCATCAGTATATTAGACATGCAATCAAGTGTAATAGAACCAAATTCTGACAGTGCTTGATACTGCACATTGTCCAGAATTCATACTGCATATTTTAGCTATGCTCTTCCTTACAGATTTGCACAGAGTTTGCTAGTTCGTTTAAATATCTAATAGCAAAACAATCTTAAAGCTTCAGACACTTGCTTCAAATACTGCCTTCAAGCTCTCGAGTGTTCAGATCAGCATGTTGAGAGTGTACTTACGGTCATTGCACAATGGTCCACTGAAGGAGGTCATACTACAGTCACAACTGAATCCATCCCACTGCTGCAAGCACACTCCCTGGTTTGCACACGAGTCCTCTTGGCATGTTGTGCTGGGGCCTGATGAGAACATACAAAAAAAGGACTTGCACTTTGCCTCCCAAACAAAGGGTTTTTCCCACTCGATCACATTAACTAGTTGCCAACATCTCAAAACAAATGAGCAAAGAGTTACCAAGTAAAACACACAAACTTGCTGATTTTGTAGCAGCATGTAATAGTAAAAGGGTGGTTTGGATTTAGCTTTAAGACTGATAATGTCAAACACATAGGAATGCACAAACTGAAGCAGAGTTATTCCAGGTGCAGTGGGAATGTCAAGTTTACTCAGGTAACTTGTTAATCACGTGTCAGACCATTAACTGGCTAAACATCTTCTAAACACTTCATCATTATTTTCCTGTAAATACATTTCAAACAGCAAAGCCAGATGCCACAGAATGCAAAGCTCTGGGAGATGAAAGGAAGGATTGGAAAATAAAACTCAAAGTAAAAATAAAATAAAGCTACACTATACAATGGTTTTAATCCCACAAATTATTTTAAATGATTTAGGTCTAAAATTCAGAAGAGTTTGGGATTTTTTTTTGGTAGGAATGTTGGCAAGTACTGATTGACATGCTTCAGGGATCCCATGCAGGTTCCTTTTTTAAAGGGAAATGCAAAAAAATCAGACTACTAATGAACTGGCATGCCAAAATGTGACATATGCATGAAAAACCAAAGCTACTCTAGTTCTAGAGAATCAGAACTCGACTACTGAAATGTAAAGAAATTTGAAAAGGAATGATCAAAGCACTAAGGCAATCACTATACAAACATATTCAAGACTGAAAGCCTTTATGCAAGCGATGCTGGAAAAAGAAGGTTCATGTAGCCCAATGTTTTAGAGGTGTGAAAGACAAAATCTGAAACCAAATAACACACTTTAGTTCTGAAATGTACAGAGCATTTATTGCAGGAATCCAACTGTGCATTGGGGGTTTCAGTCTTGTTTAATACACACAGGGCTATCTACCTTGCAAATCAGCTTTCATCAATGCAACTTTGTCAGCAAAATAAAAAAGCAAAATATATTAAATGTTAGTAAGCAATATTGAAATGGCAGCAAACACAGAAAAAAAACCAGTCAGAGTAAAGTGCATGCTGCTGTTAAAGAGAGAAAGAAATGCCATATAATGCAAACAAATTAATGCTAATAGCCATAAATCTTCAGGCAAGCCAAAATAAGAAAGCAGTAATTTGCCAGTATTTTACTACAAATATAATGGTTAATTGAGCTGATGACATGTAATGAAGGAAAATTAAAAGTTGGGGCTTTTTTTTCTTCCTTGGATAGATATGAATGCATTAACAGAGTAAATGCATGGCTGAATCCTGACTAGCCATTTGTCATGTTCAGATACACTGACTTCAAGAGTAATTAGCACTGTCATCCTCTGTGGCCTTTCTTTATTCTAGCCCTTTCTCTTGACTGGTGAAGGAAGACTCAAGTACAGACAGTGAACTACAGATTACTCACACGCACGTTTCATGTTGCATTTGACACTACAAGATAAAATTTGGTTCTGGGATTATAAAATTGTTCTAAATTGTTTTGGAGAAGAGACATCAATATCCATTTGCAACTCCCACTGCTAGTCATTGATGACAGGGCAAAACTGCTCCAGAGATTATATCAATATCCTAAACCATCCTGCAGAGAGAAATCCACTTAACCCTTCTGTCACATTACAGCTCCTTCAAAGATCTCAGTGTGGGATTTTCTTTTGATTTGCCAGTATTTGAGAAAAATCCATAGCAATATGATTTAAAGTCAGTTCAACGGCCTCTTGGCTTTAAGTGACAGTCACCAGTGCAATGAAGTACAAGAGCAGTGTATGTTGCATCCCTGTTTTGGCAAAACTGTTCACTATTCTATTTATAATAATAGTTAATAATAATAAATAATACCACCACCAGCACCACCTATAACTGATTTACTGCAGTAGGCAGACACAGAACAGTGATTTTCTTTTCTTTTGAGTTTTGAGCTCAGCAGTTCAAACATTTGGGCATTAGTGATTTCTTTCTTCGTTGGAGTTTTGAGCCCAGAAGTTGAAACATTTGGGCATTACATCACCCTTGCTGGAGCTAGGGATTATAATGACAGAATCCCGTAGCTGACAAGACAAGACACATTTTTTTCTCACCAGATTCTGCTACTCGGAAACTTTACAAAGATGAAGTGAAAATATCTGTAGGTGTTTAAATGTTATATATGCATGGATTTATTTACACTTTAGTTATGCAATGTTGAATTTCCTCATCTTTACCAAAGTAGAGCAAAAGTCACAAGGACTTAAAAGTACATAAACTGCAGGACCCTGCAGGCACATTAAGTGCCTGTTAAAACACACAAATTTGGTAAAAGTACAGATATGATCTTGATAAAAAGCAGGGTATTTTGCTCTTTATGAAACTGATTCTTAGCACTTTTGGCTTATGCATACTAGTCATTATTACAAAATTGCCATCAAGACTAGCTTATGTGTAAGAATTTCTTTTAATAAAAGTAGGCATTTTACTTTAAAGAACAGAGGAAGGGTGTTTAATGTTGGGAAACACTGTAATATCTACTGTGATTCATATTTCCTATATATACTACAGAACTAAACTATTTAGTAAAAATACTGTAATAGACTCTTCTCGAGCACTCACCTTTTGATTTGTATTTAATTTAAATATTACAATTTTTCCAATCTTCACTGCAGACTTTTTAATTGACTGGATTTGGTGTCTCATTTACATTTGTCTTACATGAGGGCTTACGTGTCCCATGTTACACAAAAAGCATTATTAAGTAGCGCATGTAATGTTTTACTATGTATTGGAAAATCCAATTCCGTATCTCACCACCAATCATCTTCACGTATATTAATACTTGGAAGCTTTTCATATAGCTCATTTAATACAAAAATTATATTATGTATACACATATGTGCACACTGGGCATTTTCCTCCTAAATCTATTAAAACTATGTTTTTAGCATTCCATATTTTGTAGAATTCTGCTTTATTTAAAGTACAGAAAGCAAGTACAATAGATTTGACTAAAGAAGAACAGGGCTGACACTTACAACCTGGCTCTGGGGTGTGCTGTTAACAATTTGAAGAGCTACTTAGCATATTTATGTTTCTAGCTGTTCATTTCTATCTGTTCTAACCATTGAAAATTTGTCAACAAGGTGGATTCAGCCAAGTGTAAATGATATTCAGTGCTCAACGATAGAGAACAGAGATATCTATCAGCCTGTGGCTGAAACCAAAATGCAAGGCAACTTGCCACACCAATCCCATGGGTGGGTTTGCAAAAAAATACATTTCAAAAAGAGAATTTTTAATATGCACAGTAAAGTTACTGAGAAATGTTGATATTTTAAAAACAAAATCCTAAAAGATATAATTAATTAGCTGTACATTATGGGTTCACAGTTTGACAGAAGAGAGAACTAGAGCTTTCTCCCCATGTTTTTTTGGTTTGGGCTTGTTTTCTTTTTATATCAGAAAGGTGGGGAATCCAATCCCATGAGAGTCTGAAGAACATTAAACCCAAGTGCCTCTCTCCTCACAAAAGATACTACAGCAGGTAGTATGTTCTTTGTCTTAACAAAGGACATACACCCACCAGTCCATCCTGCTGTCTTTGACTGACAGTAGCAAAGACCAATACTTACGGGTTTGAAATGACTTCTGCTGCTGTGTCCTGAGCTCTTTGGACTCAACATCTCAGGGGACTTACAGAACTTACACATTCCATTGCAATGCGAGATAGATGCAAAACTGCTCAGCTCTGCAAGGATGGAGACAGTCCTCTCTATAGACAGCAGCAAAGCTATGGGCATACAAAAGCCTTCTGGGAGGCAGCTACATTTGCAAGTGACTTAAATTGTACTTTAGGTGTCGGAACATTTTTTTTGTACATCTGATCCATGGTGTGCAGACAAGAGACTGACAGATGGGTCAGACAGGGAGACTTGAAGTAAACAAGAGAGATGGAAGAGACAACTTGCAAGAGTTGAGCAGAAAGGTTGCGAGGGAATATCCCATGTTGTTAAAGAGTTCCTTCTGCAGGAAAAAGACTTTTCATGAGGTTCTGTGGGAGCCAGGTTGCACATCTAGTTTTACCATTTTGCTTGTGTCAGATGACAGTGGCGCCTGAAAAAGCTGACTCTCCACCAAAAATGACAATATTTGTACTGCCTTTATTAAGTTGTTGGTGGCTTTGTTAAATCCACTGGTAGCTGAGTTGTGCCACTGGTTTAAAAGGTGAGCTCCTGCTCTAAGCCTGTGGCAGGACTTCTTTGAAGTACATAAAATTCACTTAGAAGATTACATCATTTCAAAAGAAGCTGTGAAACGTGTAATGGAATTAAGGTGTACTTCGACTCTCTGAAGGCATGGTGCAGGTATGGGACTTGCTAATGTCACTCAGAAAGCAAAATCTAATTTTCTAAATTCAGTGACAAACTAATTTATACATATTTTTCCATTCCTGATAGAACTCAAGCTACAGAAAGGTAAGTTAAGTTGTGAATTTTACATGTTTCTATGTGCTCTTAATAGAATTTATACTGTTAACTAAAGGTAGCAGGTAAGGAAGAAAAACATTCCACCTGTACAAATATAGTGTAGGGACAAGAAAAGAAGAGAGAACATTTATCCACCAGAAAGCTTTATCTCGTGAAGCTTGAGGGAACCCCCAGCTCTGCTTGGATTTTTTACAATGTCTATTTGCAAACTTGGTATCAAAATCATCAAGATTCCAACTTGAAATTCTACAGTGTCATTTACACATTTTTCTGTCAAGAATTGCGCTAGAGAGGGGAGAACACGTAAAATTGAACATAGCCACAAAATTCATAATTACGTGAATAAAATACATATGCAGGGACAGAGAACTCCTTTTAAGTTATTCCATAAATCATAGTAAAAATAACGTGGGATTAAATGACAGCTGGAAAAATAGCTAGAGATTGACACCCCTGAATTACAAATGCACCTCTTCTAATTCTGTCCTCCATTAAATTCCACAATATTCCAGATAAGTCAATAAAGACATAAAAAAAAAGTGAGATAAACCATATTTGGCTGTTACTGATTTCAGATAGAAAGGCTCATAACAATACAAATCTCAGGGGTGTGCAAAATAGAGAAGATGGAAGATTCATCTTAAACAGTTTTATAAATTAGCCTTGAATTAATCAACTCAAAATGTCTGCCTTAAGAATGGAATTAATTAGCTAATGTTTCAGCATTAGCTCATGCCTGAGTGTTATGAAGATATAAAGGACTTCACTGAAGCTAATCATTATTGTTTCTATCATTAATTAAAATACATCAAAAGCAAACAGAATACATGCAAAATATCTTGCCACTGGAGAAGGCTGGAACCTCCATCAAACATCTAAGAAGTTAACTCATGTTCTCAGATCAGTCTCTGTGCTGTAGGGCAGGCACACACAATACTCTCCATAATACTATAAATACACAGCCTTTACAGAAGAAAGAGTCAAACAAAATCAACTAGAAGCAAAATAGAGTACCTCCATGTATGGAGTGTTCATATCAACAAAACTCTGCACAATATTTTCACTATGGTATAAAAAAATATCAGCCTATTGAATACCTTCACATCCTCTTTCTATTTGCCCATTGCAGAAGAGAGCATCTGAGATGAGATCAGGGAGCCGTCCATTCAAATCAACTGATGCAAGGCAGCCTTGGAATCCCTCTTTTGCGTGTACCAGTTTTGGCAAGGACTTATACATTTCTTTGGCTACTCCTCCAATATATAAATCACCTGTTAAGGAGAAATAAGTATTAGGTACAGAAAGAAAAAGCCTGTAGAATATATGACCTGTCTTTCTGGCCTTTTTGTGTCTTAGAAAAACATTCTTCAAAATAAATACGTAAGACAACACTCATAGCATATGTGATATGAAAAGACATTGCAGGACTATATGTTTTCAAATGCAGATGTAGACTTCACATTCATATGACTAATTACTTCAAAGTACCTGACCATGTTGCTCAAGTGCCAGCTCATACACACAGCTATTTCACAGATGAGGATTCAGTCAGAGAACCTAGCACCTAGCACTGATGCATGCTGTTAGCATACTTAGGGAACCTGATCACAGATCATAGAATCATAGGAGGTTAGGGTTGGAAAGGACCTTAAGATCATCTGGTTCCAACCCCCCATGCCATAGGCAGATCATCCCCATTATGGGTCCAGCACACAGAGATAAAAGGCAGTAAGTGGAGCACCAAGATCTACCTGAAGTCCATATATCCAGAATCATCCATTTAAAAGGATGCCAAGAAATAAGGTGTTCAGGGACACATGTAAGGAGAAACTTAGAAGCAAAGAAGGTGGAAGACACCTCAAGAATCATCTGGTCCAACCTTTCTTGGCAAAGCATAGAATCATAGTTTTGGTTGAAAGGGACCTTCAAAGGTCATCTGGTTCAAGCCCCTGCAATGAACAGGAACATCTTCAACGAGATTGGGTTGCCCAGAACCACATCCAGCCTACAGCATGACCTAGACTAGATGTCCCAGCACCCTGTCCAGACAAATCTTAAGTGTCCAATGTTGGGGAATCCACCACTTCCCTGAGGAAATTAGTCCAATAATTATTGTTCTCATTGGGAAAAACAACATTTTTCAAACATCTTGTTAATATATATCTCATTGTTAAGCAATGAAATGACTGATTCTCCCCACCAAAATTCATACCCTGTGTCAGTCGTGTGGGAACAAGGGGAGTTACATGTCTTTAAAATGGCAATCTGCACACTGAGCAAACAATTTTATTGCCAAAAACAATTCTGATGACAGACACATATTATAAACAGCTCTCTGATGAACCTCAGGCAACTTACTCAGGGCTGAAAGCTAGTGCTTTTTTTCCTTTGAGTAATTTATAGCTCTGAGACTTACTTTGAAAAGACATAACTTTAACTTTTCTCTTAAGCACCAGAGTGGAAGGAGAATGCTTTTTTGTTTTAAAACAATTCAGGCTGTGCCTTCTTCTTTCACATGTTGCGTTTCTCTGGTGGGTAGAACAATGACCTTTCAAATCAACATAACCTACCTCCCTAAAGCGTGCCTTAAGTGTCAAGACTAGAGGTTTAACTAGGTACTTTCCACAGCAGTTGCTGAAGACATGCAGCAGAAAAGAACCTGAGCTCTGCTTGGCCAGAGAGGGGAAGCATGCTCACCATGAACATAGCCCACGCTGAAAGGTTTCACTCTTCCACCTGGCAGGCAAGATGTGCTCAATTCCTTCAGTCATGACAGAAAGGAATAAAACCATGGTTTCCTACATCTTGCTTGAGTTTCCTATCTTGCTCTGTTAATCCTCTAACTCAGACAAAGCAACTAGCTTTGCAAGCCTGGTAGGAGTGCTCTGAGCATGCCTACTGGTGACACCCTTTATCCCACAGGATGAGGACCTCTGAGGTTCCGAGGAGCACTGAACCTGTTTGAAGGAAGGTGCTTATGGGACCATCCAACTCTCAAGCATCACCCAGTGACAAAATTGTCACTCTGCCTCACTGATGACATGTTCTGTGCTGGCATAACTTTTCAACAGACTGTCTGAACATACATTCTAATCTATACTGTGCTTTCCAGTCCCCCAGACTGGATGATTTTGGAGCCTTGGCCACAGGATGCACCTAAGAGTGTTTCTGCATCACCTCAAATGCAAAATTGTTCATTACTTAAGTATCTGTATATAAACAGATTTTATAGTAACAGAACTCAGAATGTACTAGCTATCACCACTACCCCATGTGGCTACTTCTAATCTCCTTCTTATCTCCTGCAGTCACACCTTTTCCTGGTTCTCCTGGCACATTCACTGTTTGCAAAGGAGTGCAATTTAGTGCTGTTTGTAATGGTCTGCCTGCAAGGAAATGGCCTGAAAGAAAAAAAATATCTATCAGACTGTGAAAAATTACTACATACCAGGCCTAAAACTCCACTGTATTTGAATTAGTAAAATAGAGATAAAAAGTTTAGGAACATGCGTACCATTAATCTTACAAACTATCCAACTCAAAGTCTTAGCAACCTTTACAGCATCATATACTAAACCTCAAGCTTTCTCCACTCTACATACATAATTTGAAAAAGAAAATATAGCTTTCCTCTAAAGCTTCAAGGTACAGTATAAATCTCAGAAGCACAATATTAGACGTAACAGATTAAAATACGGTGGTCCTTATGTTCCCACAAATGGGATGCAATTCATTCACAGCAGTTAAGTTTGAGTTATTTCCCAATCAGCTGAACTGCTAACAAAGTAAAAACTCTTGCTAAAGGTTCTTCATCTTTTCCTCAGGTGGAACATACAGAAAACTAAAACCCTTCCCAGGTTTCCTGAAGTTTCTGTGCTTTCAGTCATTGTCAGCTCAGAATAGAAAAATAATCTGTCTCAAGTGATTCCCACACACTTAAAAGAGGGAAACTGCAGAGAAAAATACTAAGAAAACCAATCCCATGCTAAAAAGGTTAAACTTGGTCTATTATACACAACACATACAACCTCTTTTTAAACCTCCCAACATATATACTATCCAAACAACTATTTTCATTCTGTGATTTGTTAAACCTTTAAAACCACAAACTTTCAGATTGATCCCCCGCCAGTTCCTAAGATCCATTCCTCAGGCATACCGAGATTGCTGTATACAGTCATACAGCAATTGCCAGCTATGATGGATGGGTAGTGGAAGTCCAGGTTGGTGTACCAGCATATGAAACTGAACTCAGAATATTTGCTCCTGAAAATACACACTGGAATATTTTCAGGTAAGTATCATACGCACGAAAGTATGATACATTAAGTCAAGTCTAAATAAACTGTAACTCTGTTTACTTACAGATTCTTAAGATAATTGATTATTAGAACTGGTCATTATATACCACTGAAGCCACAATATCTGCTAAGACATGTTCTGGGTAGTATTTTAACATTGTTGATGTTTAAAATAACTTGAGTACTGCTTCTGCACTAGCTAATACCCTGCATTAATACATATCATATGTATTAAGCAACCATACTGACCTGTAAGACTTTACTGTTTATGAATTATATACAAGTATTTCTTTACAACCCTGAGCAAAATCTTCTTTAGATTTAATATACAATGTGTTTTAAGCCTGCTGCTCATGGCATGGAAACATGCTTTCTCTCAGAGACAAAATTTATTAATTTCAAACAAAACTGGAACTAACAATCAGTTTGGGTTCTTTTAACAAAAAGTAGTTTAAGATTTTACACTTTGTTATTTTTTTTGTCTCTGCCATTACAAGTGTTTCGCACAGCTACTTTTATTTTGGTTAATCACATGCTTCATTTTCACATTCATCTCAATGAATAAGTGGTTTCCTCCCAACACAAGAGGGACATGATTAAGTCTGGAGGAGGCCACGAAGATGCTATTAGGGCTGGAGCAGCTCTGCCCTGGAAACAGGCTGAGAGAGCTGGGCTTGTTCAGCCTGGAAAAAAGAAGGCTCCTTAAGGGGAGACCTTAGAGCAGCTCCAGTGCCTAAAGGGACCAACAAGAAAGCTGGAGAGGGGCTTTTGACAAGGGCTATAGTTTCTAGAACTGAAGTTTAGCTATTACCTTTTGTACACGCATTTTCTAAAATTGTGTTTATCCTGATTTTTACATGTATTCCTGAAAAAGTTGTTGGTTTTGGGTTTTTTTTCCATAACTATCCTGACTTTCCTTAATTTATAAAGGAAAATAATTCATATAAATTATATTGACTGGCATAACAAAGCAGCTGGTAGTAAAGAAACGGCGAGAGAATAGAGTGCTCCAAGATCTCCTTCTGAATTTCTTTTTGATCTCTAGAGAAGACTCAAATAAAGGACTTACTCCTTAATCTCTTAAGTCTCTTCTTTCTTACATTAGGAGCCAATACACAGTATTATCTCTCTTTTTATAGAGGGAGGATTGTTTCCTCACATCATTTTTCTGAGGCAAATATAAAGTATGCTACAGTGTTTTTCACTGGCATGTTCCCTGCAGGCCACAGGAATCAATGGGAAGGCAGCACTTTCAGAGCTATAGCTATAAATCATGGCAATAATAGTACTGATCAGTTATATTAAAAGCACTGACAAAGAGAAGAGTTCAGTGGTTTTATCTTTTAGAAATAATATAGATATTCATTTATTCCAACAGGAGCTGCTTCCCTGCTTACACCTATGTATCTTTTTTTCTGACGCAGAGCTGATTTGTGCTTTGAAGAACAAGTAAGTGAATTTAACACACAAGCAAACTGCCTGCTAATAAATGAGCCCAAGTTCCTAATGTATTCATTACTGGAATCACAGTTACCAGCACCACACAACAGTGAGTCACACACAATCGTTGGTAAAACAAATACTGCCAAATCCTTCTGTAACACCTCATCCTTTCTTTATCTCAACTCTCTACATCTCTTGAAAATAAGAACTTTGCAAATGCTAAACCAAAGAAAGGTAAAATAACAACTGAAGTTCTCTTTGTTTATTTTCTGGATAACTATCAGAAGTATCTTAGTATTTGGCACTACTGACATTGCTGACAGGTCACCTCGGACTTTCCTTCTTTCCTGATTCGTGTCCACAGCCAAGAATTCTTACATGATACATGCTTCTGGGCAAAACCTATTTGTTTAATTTAATGACTACCATTGTCTTCAAGCACTAGCAGAGGGGGAGGTATATCTGTGTGTTTATAATAGTTAACAGCAACACGTGAATACTGCTCAGGGATCAAGTAGTTTAACCAG